CTGCGTGTAGCTTCACTTCGCTTTCGCCTGTTTCCCCCTACCCGTTTTCCTCCGTCTCCTTCTCTTCTCTCCCGTTCCCGTCCAACCCTCAAACTCCCTCTCTCTGGCACCGTTTTGCAGCCTACTTGCAGTGTTTTCCGAGAAGTGTCAGCGGCCCACTCCTCGCCACCCCTCTGCTTCCCCCTCGGATCCTCATTCCGCTCCTACGCCTGAGTGCGTGCAAGCGGCGCACCTCATCAACCACACCGTGCAGACCCGCCTCGCGTCCTCCTCCTCGACTGCAGCAGCGGAAGCGGCGGCGGCAGTGGCGGAACGTGGTGGTGCCGCTGCAGCCGCGGCTGCAACCGATGGCCCTGGTACCAGTGGCCCTGTTGCTGCGGCGGCTGCCGGCGCGCCGGTTGTGGGCTTAAGAGGAGTCCCTGCGTCTGCCGTAGGGGGTTCTGCAGCTGGGGTCGCGGCAGGAGGAGCGGCCGGGGGAGGAGTCGTGCCATTAGCTAGTTCGACGAAGGAACAGCAGCCGGCTGCTGCCACTGCGGGCACAACCCATAGCCCCGATAGTAGCGTTTTCGCTAAGAGAGCAGCCCCGGTTACAAGGCCTGCAGCCCGCGCGCCAGGGCCAGCGCCCGCAGCAGCAGCAGCGACTGAGAGATGGGGATGGAGGAAGAACAGCAGCAGTAGGGGGCTGTGGGGAAGGCTTGGCAAGGGCCCGGAGAAGAAAAAGGCGGAGAAAAAGGCGCAGAAAATGCCAGAAGCGAGCAGGACGGAGCGGAATTCCATTATGGACGGGACGCTAGTACCGGCCAGCCGCGCAGTGAACCCGCCCATGTCCCGAAACCCCATGTTTGAACCGGTAGGCGCGTCTAAGAGGCGGGCGGCGAGGCAGCCGGGGCTGCGGGTGCCCATGTGCATCAAGACGGTGAAGGTGCAGTTTGGAGACACCCTGGCGGAGATCGCTCTGAAGCACCGCACATCCATCAGGGATCTGCAGCGGCTGAACAACCTGCGGTCGGACTTCATTGTTGAAGGCGACACGCTCATCGTCTCGTGCTGTGAGTGCTGGGAGGGGAGAGTGTTGTGTGGTGTACATGGTGTCAGGGGGCGTTGAGTGTAGGGATACTCTGGCGTAGATCGCCGAGCGAGGGACCTGCGCGTGGACGTCGGCTGTGTTCCTGCATCGGCTGAACAACCTGAGGTCGGGCCTCTTTGTGGAAGGCGCCACACTCATTTTCTGTAGGTGCTGGGAGTGGGATAGGGGATAGACCACGTCTCATCTTAATATCCCACAGCTGTATACCCCATCCCGGTTCCCCCTCCATGGCCATTGCCCCATCTCGGTCTGCGTATTCTTGAAACTGGCCATTGCTCCAGCTCACCCTCTCTCAACACTCTCCTCCTTTCTCCCATTGCCCCCCCAACATACACTCTGCAGCCAACCAGCGTCGCTCGGTACCAGAGCTCAGGCCTGGTATTCGCCGGACCTGCCGCCCCCTCTTTTCCCGGCTCTCCCCGTCCTCACTTGCGAACCTGCCCACGAGGCTCGGCGTGGGAGGTCCGGCAGCAGGAGCCATTGTGAAATCGGCTTCAGCAGCAGCAGGCGCTCGAGTTTCTCTTCTAGAAGGTGCGTTCCGCTCCTTGTGCTGATTGCTTGAAACTGAAGTGTGGCATTCCACCTGTAGATTTCGCATTTCTGTCCGTGCTTTTTGGACTGCTGTGTCGCCTTTCTTTTCTTCTTTCGTTTGTAATCCACCTGTCATTGGCATCTGCATGCGAGCTGTAACTCCCTATGTGGGCCATGTCATTTCTAACTTGCAAGAAAAGTTACGTGACCCAATAGATGCTTCTTACTGAGTCATGGCCGCTGGTATTGTGCACTTCATCTGTTTCTCGTCTGATGCGCTATGCTCCCCCATTCATGGCCCAACTTGTTCCGCATTGCCGGTACCCCCTCTCAAACCTACAGGTCGATGGATGAAGGGGCCCCATAGGCTTTCCCAGATCCATGAGTGTTGGTGCTGTGCTCTCTCTCCAATAACGATCTCTGCTCCCCCTCTCATTATGATCTGTGCTGTTTGCCCACCACCATCACCCCGTTCCCTCTCCCACCAACAGGGCGGTGGAGGAGGGGTCCCAAGGGATTTCCCAAGTCGATGGACGGATGGCTGCGATTTAACTGCCCTGTGGTGGACGGGTGCGTTTTCAGGGGGAAAGGGGAAGGGGCATTGGCACTTGGGGGAGGTAGGGGTGACATTCGAGTGGACTTCAAACACCGTGGACGGATGGCTGCGATTTAACTGCCCTGTGGTGGACGGGTGCGTTGGACAGGGGATTAGGAGGGGAGGTGTTTCAGGTTGGGGGAAGTATAGGGTGCCTCTTTAGTGAATGCCCTGTGGTGGTCAAGTGCGTAAAACAGGGGGGTTGGACGGGCTTGTTCTGCATGCTGAGCTTGCTGATTGAGCTTTAATTGCCGATCTATCAGAAGCTGCTTTTTTTGTGAGCCTTTCTCCCGCTCCATCCATGAGCACTTTCATCTCAATCCCTCTCCCCCAATCCTCCTCTCAACCCTCTCTCCCCACCAGCTTTGTCAGCAGTCCCTTTGGCTGGCGATGGGGATCCTTCCATGAGGTACGCCTCCTCTCCCCCCGCCCCCCTCACTCTCTCGCCTTTCTCCCACCCTCCCCCTTATCCTCTTCCTCTCTCTCCTGCTCCTCCTCCTCCTTTGTCCCCGTCCCCTTGCCATCCTCTCCCCCGTTTCGTCCGCTTTGTTTCACTCCTTCCCCACGGTTAGTCCCTCTGCTTCGTGTTCTTCTACCCGCCCCCCTATCGCATGTCACGCTCTCGATTCCCCCTTCTCCCCATCCCCTGCCATTCCCCCACCCGCTCCCCTTTCCTTTCCCCCTTGCCACAGGGCGTGGATCTAGCAGCGGAGTTTGGCGCGCCAGTGCTGGCGTCAGACAAGGGCGTGGTGACGTTTGCAGGCTGGAGCGGAGGGTGAGTGGCTTTTGAGGGGGGACGGGAGTAGGGGGTGGCGTTTGGGCCGGAAAGTTCAAAGCTGGGAACAAGGGCATAGCGAGATGGCAATGCTGGCGTTGGTGGGGATGTAGGGTGAGTGAGTGAGCCGAGATGGGGGGGGGGGGGGGGGGGGGGGGGTTGAGACGAGTGCATCACCGGGTGATTGTTCGTGTCTGCATGGCCATCTCCTTGCTTCTCCCCTCTGTTCCCCCGCTATCTACTCTCAAGTAGTTGGTCTGGTGCATTGCTGCTTGTCTAAACATCCTCTTCTCCTCTACTCCGCCCCCTCCTTCCACCAACCCCCACGGTTCTCCTCTCCCCACCTGCACCACTCCCCCCACGACTGCCTCCAGGTACGGCAAGCTGGTGACTATAGCGCATGACAATGGCTTCACCACTCGCTATGGGCACTGCTGCATCATCAACGCTCGCGTTGGGCAGGTGGGTGGTGGTTGATTCAATGGAGTTTGCCTTATAATTCATCGTTCAAGTGTCCAGGTTTGTACCACTACCACTCCACAAACTGCCCGCTTTCTAGTAGCTTCAGAGTGACCTCTTATCCTTGTGCCCTCCCTCACTTCCACACTTCCGTCCGTCGTCGTTTTCCAACTATACCTCCTTTTTTCCTGCTGTTGTGTGTGTTTGCGCTCGTGCATGTGCGTGTGTGTCCGTGTGCTTGTGTGTATGTGTATGCACAAACGTCTGTGTGTCCATGTGTGCATGTATGCACAATGACTGCAGCGAGTGGCAAGGGGGCAGCAAGTGGCATGTGTGGGGGCAACTGGGCGAGCCACGGGACCCCACCTGCACTTCGAAGGTGCGTGCATTTGTTGCCGCTGGCCCGTCTCTCTGCCCTTCCGCTCTCTTCCCCCCTCCCTCGCTCTCTCTTCGTGTGGGGAGCAACTGGGCGAGCCACAGGTGACAAGACCCACCCTCACTTTGAACGTGTGCGACTTGTCACTTCGCCCTCCGCCTCTCTCTCTCCATCCCTCCCACCCTTTCTTCATCTCCACCTCCTTGCTTCCCACTCTGATTCTTTGTACCTTGGCCAATCCATTTCCTTACCTCACACACCACATCCTTCCGCCTGCGTGCCTCAACGGACTCAGAGGCGCTGGACCCTTTCAGATGGGGCATTTTGTGACCAGGCCAGTGCAGGCAGAGTTGTGAAGCACCCCTTGCAGTCACCTCACCTTGCACAAGGCGTTCTTCTCTCACAGTGTTTCTACATTTCCCCTCTGCTACATTTCCACCCCACCGCTCAGTTCGCAAGAGAGGGGAGGCATTGGACCCGTTCAAGTGGTGCAACTTGTGACAGTAGAGCTGGTGCAGGCAGGCATAGCAGCAGCGCACACCTCCTCTCTTGCAGAAGGCATTCTGCTGAGTGTGCTGCGCTGCTGCGCTGCTGTCTGCTGCCCATCCTGCTCATACAGCCAGACAACACCATCCAGGCTGCAACTTAGGCCATGCCACACTGCTGCCACAGGAGCATGGAGTGGAGAGTCAGTGTGTCGCCTGACTGGTAGCTAGCTAGCCCAGTTCTGCACTGCATACCGTTTTTAAGACTCCCCAAGCTAGGTCTGAATAACCTATCGGTAGCATGCTCTCTTCCCTAAGGGTATACAGGCTAGCTGTGGGGGCACTAAGCCTGATAGCCTAGCATGGCATGGTTGTGCTCTAGGGGATATTTACACCAGCCCTCCTGTAAGGGAGGCAAGCAAGAACAGGTGTTGGTGCTCGCTTGTGTATGGCGGATTGAAAGACAGCTGCTGACTACTACGGTATGACTGGCGAACCAGAGTTCATGTGGCTGGTAGAGGTTCACTGTATTTGTGAGTGCTAAAGCCTAAAGTTTTGCTGGGGCGTATGCAGGGGTTCCAAGTGCACGGATGTCGTCATTCTGTTTGTAGCTACCACCTATCTCAGACAGATTAGCCAGACTCATCCCTGCAGGTGTGGTGTGGTGGCAAGAAAGGAAGAAATGTTTCACCCCTGCATTTGGTGCCAGCCAGCCAGAGTGTTTTACATACAGCAACCAAGCCCATGTCTACTTCCCACCCCAATCAATGGAGATGAACACATTAGATTGCCGGGCAGCGTATGTACAAAGATTAAGACAGCATATCAGGGTTCAGTCAGTTCTTCCGGAAACAGGAAGCCATCAAGGGTGGGTGTTTGGTAGATATGTACACAAAATGCACCACTGTGTCTGGACTCGACTTCTCCTGTTGCCAGAGTTGTGGGAAGGGAGCGCCACAGCACACAGCACACAGCACACAGCACACATCCAACAGCAGCGGCCGGAATCTAGGCCACCCCAACCACACACACACGCAAGCCAGCAGCATTGTTCGCAACAGCCGGAACACCAACTCACAATCTCTTCTCCATTCCATAGGGGCCCATTGAGCATAGCCGTTAACCCCAATGCCTTCCTCCTCCGCTCCCTCCCCTCCCTCCCATCGCCGCCCTTCCCCCTGAAGGTCAAGCCCATCTTATGGTATGTGCTGTGTGACGTATATGCGGTGCACGCTCATCACTCGGAACACGTGCAGAGCAGCACCTCCCTCAGCGCGGGGGACAGGTGGCACGTGCCCTGCCCTCCCCATTCCGTGACCTTCCCTCCGCTTCCCTCCCCCCTACAGGCTGAGCCCATCCGACCCAACCTCCGTGGTCGGACCCGGCTCCTCTTTCCCCTCTCCCCTCCTCTCCTCCCCCTTTTCTTCCTCCTGCCGCACCAGGAACCGCCCAATCGCATCCCTCAGCGTGACCACTCCCAGCAGCTCCCCACTCCCCCCCCCACTGCCTTTCGCCTCTTCAGTGGCGTACATGCGGTGCACGCGCGCCACCCTGAACGCATGCAGCACCTCCCTCTGGGTGGTGAGGCGGAGGCGTACCACCCTCCACCCCCCTACAGGCTGAGCCCATCCGAACCAACCTCGGTGGTGGTTGGGAACGCCTCTTTGTCCTCTCCCCTCCTCTCCCTCTTTTCTTCCTCCTGCCGCACCAAGAACCGCCCAATTGCATCCTTCAGCGTGACCACTCCCAGCAGATCCCCACTCTTCTCACCCCCCTCCTGGGTGACGTATATGCGGTGCACGCGCGCCACCCGGAATGCGTGCAGCACCTCCCGCAGCGAGGTGGACGGGTGGCATGTGACTGGTGGCACCATGATCGGCCAGATGACGTCAGCCGTGCCGTGGTGCGGGCGCTGCGCGTCATACAGGAGATCTGCTACCGTCAGCGGCCTGAGAATGGGGAAGAGAAAAGGGGATTGTGGGGCAGATGACGTCAGCTGTGCCGTGATGGGGGTGCTGGGCGTCATACGCCAGATCTGCCACCGTTAGCGGCCTGAGGAAGGGGAAGGTTGGGGGTTTGGGAATAGAAGGGGTGGCATACGACTGATGGCGCCATGACTGATGGCGCCATGACCGATGGCGCCATGACTGATGGCGCCATGACTGATGGCGCCATGACCGATGGCGCCATGACCGATGGCACCATGACCGATGGCACCATGACTGATGGCGCCATGACTGATGGGGAAGAAAAGGATTTCGGGGAGGGAAGAGAGACGACGCTAGCAGAAAAAAGGGGGAGGGTGCTAGTACGCAGAAAGCAGAAAGGCAATAAGCAGAGGGGGGAATGCGCGTACTTGAGGTGGTGCTGCTCCGCCAGGTGCGGTGACGTCAGCAGCTGCAGAATGTCCCTCGCGCTGATGTTTGCCGTGATGCGGTTGGTCCCCGGCGCCACCACGGGCACTCCGCCGATGTCGTGCTGAAGCATCAGACGGAACGGCTCCATTACCGGGTCCGACTCCTGCACCTGAGATAATAACGCGTACGGAGAGGGACGGATGGAGCATCAGACGGAACGGCTCCATTACCAAGGTCGACTCCAGCACCTACCTGGATAGTAACGCGTACATAGAGGGAGGGAATGTCACGCAGGAGAAGGCGAGGATGCGCGCATTCTAGCAAGAGGAAAACCGAAAGAGAAAGAAAAAGAGCTTTGGTGACACATTGTATCATCTGCTTAGTGCCAGTGGTCTAGTGGTAGAATAGCACCCTGCCATGCAGCACGGTGCAGACCCGGGTTCGATTCCCGGCTGGCACATCTAACTCTTTCCCTTTCTTGGGCATCATGATGTCGATCGCTGATACTAGTACTTCCTCCTCATTACCTTGTTGCACCAAGAACGTGTTGTTGGAGAATTTGGCTACCTCCTCTCCTCTTATGATCCAAAGAGTCCGTGAAACAAACGTGGATGCAAGAAAAGTTGTGAGCCCATCCATTACTCACTTCCCTTTTGCTAACAACGATCATTTTCCCAACCAAGCATGTGACTCACACGACTCACCTCAACCGCCCATTCTGCACTATGCCTGACAGCCTCACAACTCACGCATCTTGTCGCCACCCACCAGAGCCACAGCTGTCTGTCTTCAAGAGTTAACGACACATCGCTCACCTCTTCGACTGGTGATTCTGCAGCAGGCATTTCAAAAAGCCCTCTGTCTTCCACTTGTATTTCGGCCACCCCTTCTAATCCAGGCTATCCGTTGCACTCTGCTAGGCTGTCCGTTGCACTGCCAGGCTGACCATTGCATTCTGCTGCAACTGTAGGGATGCTAGGGATGCTAGGGATGCTAGGGATGCTAGGGATGCTAGGGATGCTAGGGATGCTAGGGATGCTAGGGATGCTAGGAATCCAACCGGCAATTTTCTGCACCCAAACCAAATGCTGTCACCGTCTGTGACGCGTTTGCACTGTCAACGTCTGTGACGCACTTGCAATGTCACTGGCCAAACTTCGACATTGGTTCCATTGTCATCCTGCTGTAGAGCTCTGCTCAAACATTTCAAATTTCTCAAAGGCACACAAATACTCATCCCTCGAGTGCCAGTGGTCTAGTGGTAGAATAGCACCCTGCCATCAGCACGGTGCAGACCCGGGTTCGATTCCCGGCTGGCACAGACCGCATCTTTTTGTCATTTTGCCTCAAATGACAATATTTCAAAAGCTGCTCAACATCACTCCTCACCTTGCATATCCAGCAGTTCTTGGCGTCCCCACGTCTTTCAGTTGCTTCCCCGCCACCCACTCGAACCACGGCTGCTCTTCGGGTGAGACGATGAATCTCACCTTCACAGTCGATTCTTTGTCCATTCTCGGGAGCCCCATGTCACTCAGCCTTCTCCCCGCCACCCACTCGAACCACGGCTGCCCGTCACACTCCGCCAGGAAATTCACCACATCAGCCTGCGACACCAGGGCTGACAGGCTCGGCACAGGGGCGGTCTCCGAACCTAGTGACGAAGCTGCAGCAGCAGGCTCGGCAGAAGTGGAAGCAGGAAAAGTGGCGGAGGAGGAGGAGGGAGGGGAGGAGGAGGGAGAGGAGGAGAGAAGGGAGGATGGAGTGGGGGAGGAGGGAGAGGAGGACGCAGGAGAGGAGGCGGAGGGAGACGAGAAGGGAGAGGAGGAGAAGGGAGAGGAGGAGAAGGGAGAGGAGGAGGTGGGGGGGTAGGTGACGATGGGGAGCACTTGGGGGCGGTGGGGCATGGCGAGCAGCAGCATGAGAGAGAGGACTGAGTCGGACGAGGAGAGGGGGAGGAATGAGCGCCAGCGGAAGGACCCCACCAGTTCAGACACCTGGTGTGTGTGTGGGAGAGGTGGAGAACAGGGGAGAAAGGTTTGGGAGGAATGAGATATAGGAATATGAGGGGGAGGCGGAGGTATGGGCATGTGGGGGAGAGGAGGGGGCGGGATGAGGCACCAGATGAGGAGAATGGCAGGAAGGAGCGCCAGCGGAAGGACCCCACCAGGTCAGACACCTGGTGCAAAGATTGGGGGGCGTGAACGGGGGTGCAGCGAGAAGGGTGCACGAGGAATGGGCACCACGAGCACAACGCCCCATTGGCTTGTGAGCAAGGGAGTCGGGAGTCAGAGGGAAAGAGGCGATTGGGAGAAGGGGAGGAGCGTGCGATGCGGTGTTGTGATGGTGGAGGCCTGGCGACAGGGGAAGGGCATGTGGGGAAGGGCGATGGGGAAAGGGCGATGGGGGAAGGGCGATGGGGGAAGGGCGATGGGGGAAGGGCGATGGGGGAAGGGCGATGGGGGAAGGGCGATGGGGGAAGGGTGACCACTTCGCTTAGTTGTCTGAAGAATCCTGAAGAATCCTGAAGAATCCTGAAGAATCCTGAAGAATCCTGAAGAATCCTGAAGAATCCCCCGGCCGGCCGACACCCGTTCCACCCCTCGCCCTCCTCACAGACTGGCGTGTCCCACCCCATTACCTTTACCAACTTACCATAGTCGTCTGAAACACGTTTCTCTGCAGCAGCCGGTCAAGTCCCCCTGCCGAAACTCTTACGCGCTCCACCCCTCCCCCTGCCTCCCCCTCCCCCGGCGCCTCTGCTGACTTGGAGCCCAGCAGCCCGCCAGCCATTGATCCTGCCCACATGGCCGCCAACGCGGCAGCATCTGGAGCGCCCAACGCTGCTGCGCCCAGCCCTGCCACTGCCAGCCCGGCCAAGCCTCCCCCTGCTGCTGCTGCCATGCGGAGTTCTGCAGACGAACGGTCGAGCTGAGAAAAGGAGGAAGATGGAGGGGGGTTGGGGGAAGAGCGAAGAAGAGCAGGCGTGAGGGGCGGGCGGGAATGTGGAGGAAGCGCGACGGGCACGAAGCATCTTTCTCAAGTAAAACCACTTCAAACCCAAGCCCCTCCTGCCCTCCACTGTCCCTCCCCCAAGCCCAAGCCCAAGCCCCTAGTACCTGCCCCCCACAGTACAATCTCCGCGCGCCCACCATCCCCCAAGTCCCGCTGCTCCAAGAAAGCATCGTCCACGACCCCTCTCACCATGTTCCCCCCCCCCCCCTCCGCCCCCCACAACCCCCCCCTCCACTCCCCCCGCCCTTCCCCCCCCCCTCTTTCCCGTCCCCCCTGTCTCTCCTACCTGCCCCATGACCCACAGCACGATGCCCGCGCCATCCACCATGCCGAGGTACCGCTGCTGCAGAGGCGCGTCTTCCCTCGCTGCCACGTCCCTGACGGGTGCCGCCATGAGCCCGGACTTCTGCAGCAGTCGAAGAGCGTCCGAGAGACGAGCGTCGGAGGGGATTTCGAGCACTGGGAAGGAGGAGAGGGAAGGGCAGGACGACAGGGGGCACGGTACCGCTGTGAGTGAGTCCGTGCGAAACTTCTCAAAGTGTCGAGCACCACAGCGAAGAACGTAGACACGAGGCATAGGAGTCCACAGAACATCATACCTTCAAGCTGGTACGGGTGAGACATCTCAAAACTAAACTTCTATCGAACGTAGACCGAGAAGCATATGAGACCACAGAGTACCGTACCTTTATGCTGGCACGGGAACACCGACACCGGCAGCTGACTGAACGCCCAATTTAGCGCCTCCAACTCGCGCCGCTCCTCCTCCTTCACACTCTCCTTCGCTCCCTCGCCCCCTTCCTTCTCTCCCGCTGCCTTCCCCCGCACCCTCCCCGCCTCCCCCTTCCGCCCCGCGCGCGCCTCCCACATCTCTTCGATGCGCTCCTGCAGCGCCACCGCGTGCGCGGGGCGGTACCCCAGCGGCAACATCCGCCACTCCTTCGAGGGCCGCGAGGTCGCCTCTTGCGCGGCAGCATCCGCGGCAGCATCCGAGGCAACTCCCCTGGCGCTAGCGCCGCCACTAGCGCCGCCACTAGCAGACAAAGGCTGCGGCGGCTGCTGCTTCTGGTCGCCCCGGGAGCCATGAAGGCATCGGAACGAAAGCCCCTTGTGGTCGTTCGCGGGGGTCGAGATGTGCGCAAGGGGAAGGGGGCTCCCAGCGTTTGCGCGCCTGGCAGCGGAAGCGCAGCCCCGCCGAGGGACGGGGGCGTCTCAAAGCGCCCCTGCGCGCGGGAGCGCGCGCTTCCGCCTGTGTACGAGCTGCCCCAGAGCTCGTTCCAGCGGGAAGCCGCCATGGCGCGGAGTGCCTGTTGCGAAACGGGTGATGGCGGTGCCGCCGCCGCCGCGGCCGACGCCGACGCCGACGCAGACGCCGATGCGGACGCGCACGCCGCCACTGCGTGGGATGCTGTGAAGGAACGAGTGACCTGGCGGGCTATCATTGACGACGCGAAGGCGAAAGCGGCCGTCGCCATGGGAGGGGACTGATCGGAACGAGGGTTGCTCCAAGGGACTGCGGAAACTCGGCGACAAGGAATTGTGGCTACGACAAATCCAGAGCTTCGGCCCGAGGGTTGGTGGGCCTTTTCAAGAAGCAGGTTCACGGCCAAAAGGAAGCCGAGCCACAGGGAGCGGCGTGGAAAAAGCTATTTTGAGTAACAGAAGGATGCTGCATCTCGGGGAGAAGCTTCGACAGCGGGCGCAGCAGACGCTAACAAGAAGAGGGCCGCTTTTAAGCGGATGCGCTTGTCTGGCGCCTCGCCGAAGAGGCGGGCTCGAGATGGCCGTGCATGGATCCATGCAGCGGGGAGAGGAGCGGGCCATGGCGGGAGGTAGGAGAAAAAGCGCATCATCATGGCGGCCTCCTTGGTATGCAAGCGGTCTCATCTCACGTGAGCTGAAGCAGAGGAACGGGGGAACGCCGGCGCTGCTTCACCATGATGGAGGAAGCGCTGGTGATATTGCATCGAGCGGTACAGAATGCATTACGGCAAGCTGCTGCTTCTCTGCACCACGTGTGCACATCATCGCGGCATTCCAAGATATGCCACACAAGGGCAACGAAAGCACTCAGGTGGAGAAAAGGGGAGAATTTGACCTTCGTGAGATACTGCCGAAAGCAGGTGTTGCTTGGTCGTCACGGAAGGCATGGAGGAGGTGCAGTATGTGGCGGTGCGGTCGTCGGTGACATTTGAGAGAATTGAGAAATCGAGGGTTGCATTGCGTGCAGAAGTGCGTTTGTGCAGAGAAAATCAAAAATTGCGTGCATTCGCGGGTCGCATGGCGCTGCGACGTGCTTGGGTCCACACGTGAGGTGGACGAGGGGAGGTGTTCCGACGGACACGTGTGATTTGCGCACTGAGACGCAGCACCGATTGCTGGTGAGGTGACGTGGATTCAGCCATGCGCTTTCGTTTCAACTTCCGTCACGTGGTCCCAGGGATGCAAATTTACGGGCAGACGAAATGTGATCTGAATTGTTTTGTCGGAATTCGGCCGCTGCCATTTGCTCATGAGCGAAAGTGTACGAGTTCTCCCAGACAGCAGAAGCCTGTGTATCCCAACCGTCGTTTCCTCTGAACCGTTCGATTACACCGCACTCGCTGGACACCCCTAGATTCAGCGCTTTCACTTTTGTTCCAGTACAGAACCTCTGCCCGAAGGACCTCTGCCCCAAGGACCTCTGCCTGAAGGCTTCGCGTGTTCCCCTCCCCTCGCCTCTCCCACACGCCGCTTCTCTGCTCGCGCTCCCAAGGGCAAATCCTCCCCACCAGCGTCTTCCCACTCAAATTCACTCGACTCCGTCATTCTATTTCCAGTTTCAACTTCGATCTACACGCGCTTCTCCAAGACTTTCTTGGCACTCGCAACCATTACTTCGCGCTAATTTCTGCCAACTTTCCTTGCGCGTGCGTTTGGGAGTTCCTCTTTGTCAGCAAATCGCCAGCGAAACCTTGAGAATGCCGACTCTCATGCCTATTCGACCGTGGAATCTGGCGACAGCTACTCTCGGCATGGCGTCTGCCGTCGCTTTCGTGACAGTCGGCACCTCCTACGCAATTCATGTTAGTACCACGCTATATTATCGATAAAATTTTCTAATCCAAGCGTCGTAGTCGTCCTCATCACATGGCCTGTTGGAGGACTTTCCGTACACATCATTAATGGCGTGGCTGTTCATTATCATGGATGATTGCTTGCTGGTACTCGCCTCACTGACTATCGTGTGCGAGTTGGCAGAAATACGTTGAGAAGAATCGGAAGAGGTAATCGACCTCGCCCTGTTCTTGTTCCCACGGACCAGCGGATATCTCTTTCCTACTAGTAGTACTACTAGTAAGACGACGGACACAGTCTTGCCTGTCAGCTTCACGCGATTGTGCGCTGCCGATTTTTTGTGTGTCTGTTTTTCTCACGGTTTCCTTTTTTCACATGCTACTTGGCTGCTGGATTGGGTGCAGCAGTGGACAGAGGCCTGGCGAAAGAAGGTGAATCCTGGTAACCAGCAGGTGAAGGAGACTTCGTTCATCTACGAGCTGGCTTGAAGGGACGGCCCCTTCACCTGGCGTGATGCATGCCTGCGTGGATGATGCACGCGTACCTGTAAATAGTCTGGGATTCGTGAGGCAGAGCCGCGAGGAAGTTTTGCGCGCGTGCCTGTAAATAGTTTGGGATTCGTGAGGCGGAGCAGCATGCGAGCATGGATGCTGAAACTCCCGCTCGAACCATTTTAGTGCCTAATGCCGGTTTAGCACCGTTAGAACATGTATATATTGGGTGGAATTGCTGTTCTGGTGAGAATTGCAGTCTTGAAGTGAAGCAGAGCAGGATCAATTGTACCCTATCCAGCTCATTTGATACCTTTGATACAAGAGGAAAACCGGGCAGAGACGCCTTGGCTTGGATGGGAGTCCCACCGTAGGACCACATTTGCGACATAGACCGCTCGGAAAACCAGACGTCTATACCCAGCTGTGATACCCACGTGCACCCACGAACTAAACCCAGACCGGGGCGGCTACCAATGAGGTCGTGGTCGTGGAATGACAGGAAGGGCACCTCCTGGGAGGAAACTCCGAAAGTGCGATATCAATGCAATGATATTTCAAGGCATTTAGTTATTGAGGTGGACCGTGGAAGGTCCCTCATGATGTTGATATGCAAGTCATCGTGTGATGGGTGCAGCACACTAAAAAGACGCACACCAGCGCGATCTTGAGCGCCTCAAGCATCTCGCCCTCGCACTCCGCTATGCCCGCCACTCTCGGGTCCAGCACGCCCCCCTCTTGGCCTCATCCCCCCTCCTGTCCTCCTGCCCCTCCTCCTGCCCCTCCTCCTGCCCCCCCCTACTACTGCCCTCCTGCCAGCGCCTTGTGTTTTCAGCACCCAGAACTCACAGCCTACCCACCCCCCTCGTCGCCTACTCTCTCCAGCATGGAGACTATATCCGCCATGATGGGCCGCTCCTCCGCCTCCTCCCCCACGCACACCAGCGCGATCTTGAGCGCCTCCAGCATCTCGCCCTCGCACTCCGCTATATCCGCTACCCTCGGGTCCAAGACATCCCCCGCCGCCCCCTCCTCCACACACACGTTCACCCACCCGATCACGTCGCCCAGCTCGTTCTCTGCGAACCAGGGGTCTAAGGGGGGTCGGCCTGTTAGCAGCTCGAGAAGAACGACGCCGAAGCTGAACACGTCGCCCTCTGGGGTTGCTGTTGTAGGGCCGGACATGTACTCTGGAGGGGGGGGGGGGGAAGGGGGAGTGAGGCAGGAAGAGAATGAGCATGGTGGGTCTGCAAACCAGGGGTCCAAGGGGGGTCTGCTGGTTGACAACTCCAAGAGGGCCACTCCTGAGCTGAAGACATCCCCTTCTGGCGTTGCTGTTGTCGAGGCAGACATGTACTCTGGAGGGGGGAAGGGGTTGGGTGGGGGGAAAAGGGAGCGAGGTTGAGTTTCTAGGAAGAGAAAGGTCAGGGGTCTAGGGGGCGGCGGTCGGTGAGCAGTTCGAGTAAAACGACCTCGAAGCTGAGAAAAGTCCCCTTCTGGAGTTGCTGTTGTTGGGCCGGACATCTACTCTGGGCGGGAGAGAGGAGCGCGTTGGAGTGGGAGAGTTTGTGAAAGAGCGGGGAGGGTGGGTTGGGGTGGGGTGGGATGGGGTGGGATGGGGTGGCAGGTATTCCAGAGTCCCACCAGGAGAGGCATGCCTTCAACGACAAGGTCATCAGAGCCACAGTGGTTTGTGAAGCGACAAAAATCCCAAAGCATGCCTCCAACGACCAGGTCGTCCTTGGAGCCCCAGTGGTAAGACACTTCCCAGGAGGACTATGCCCCAGCGTCTCGAGAGCCAAGCCAAGCCACGTGCACATGGCCCGAGTCCAAGGAAATGCGCTCCGCAGCAGTGATTGTCAGCCGCGCATCCCTATCGCCCCCCCCCCCCCCAGCAGAATGTTCTGTGGATGCGGCGACCCCCTGCACCAGATCCTGCCTACCAGGGGGAAGGTGTTATCCTCAGAGCACATACTCACCAGGCGGAGTATACCCAAGTGTTTCAGGCGCCACGTGTACATCGTCCGAATCGAATGCAATGCGGGCAGCTGCCGTGTCGGTCAGCCGCGCTTCCCCATCGTCCCCCAACAGGATGTTCCCTGGATGCAGCGACCCGTGCACCAGAGGGTCGGGGGCCAGTTGGGAGCCGGGCGGCCGCGGGAGAGTGAGGGTATGGAGATGGGCCACGCCCTGGGCTATCCCTATCGCCACTTTCTTCCGCGCGTCCCACGTTAGCGAGTTCTCAGAAAGCTCCTGGTTGCAAGGAAGCAAGGGAGTGTTGGGGGGCAAGGGTGGGTGCGGCAGAGTGAGCCTGTGCAGGTGCGCCACTCCTTGAGGTATCCCTGTCGCCACTTTCTTCCGCGCGTCCCACGTTAGCGAGTTCTCAGACAACTCCTGCTCAGAAAGGAAGGCGGAATGAGCAAAAACAAAGGGGAAGCACGGAGCGTTAGCAACTCATGCACCAGAGGGTCAGGGGCTAGCTGCGAGCCGGACGGCCGAGGCAGAGTGTGCGCGTGCAGGTGCACCACCCCTTGAGCTATCCCTATCGCCACTTCCTTCCTGGCGTGCCACGTTAGCGAGTTCTCAGAGGGCTCCTTAACAGGAGGGAGGGAAAGGAGGGAGGGAAAGGAGGGAGGGAAAGGAGGGAGGGAAAGGAGGGAGGGAAAGGATGGAGGGAAAGGAGGGAGGGAGGAAAAGAGGAAACGAGGGAAGGAGAGTGAGCGTGTGCCGATCGGCCACGCCATGCGCTCTTCCCAGAGCCACTTTCTTTGTGGCGACCCATGTTAGCGAGTTTTCAGACAGCTGCTGGAGGGAAGGAACGTAGGAAAGGAGGGAGAGGGAGAGCAGGGAAGGGGGAATGGAGTAAAGGAGGGAAGGAAGGGAGGAAACGAGAGGAGGGGAGGAGAGACGGCGGGAAGGAGGGAGGACAGGAAAGAGGAGAAGGTATAATGAGGAAGACAGGCGTGTGAACGAGGTGACTTTTGAGTCGACTCAGAAGGTATAATGAGGAAGACAGGCTTGTGAACGAGGCGCTTATCCCCATCATCCCCAGCGGAACGTTACCCCGCCATCAAGCCCTCACCCCGCCATCGAGCGCTCACCCCGCCATCGAGCCCTCACCCCACCATCGAGCCCTCACCCCGCCATCGAGCCCTCACCCCGCCATCGAGACCTCACCCCAACCCCTCACTTCATCGTGGAGGAAGTCGTTGAGGTCCCTGTTGGGCATGAGCTCGTACAGCAGTGACTTATGAGTCAACTCAAAAGTACCGACTTTTGAGTCGCCTCAACAGTCACCCCGTTGGGCATACAGTAGCACCCACCTGCCCGTGATCTCATCTTCTCAATAGCAGGCACAAGGTCCGCATCCCACCATCAACACCCTCACAGTGTCACACCACATGCAAGAGGCTAGTCACTCACCTCATCATAGAGGAAGTCGTTCAAATCCCCATTGGGCATGAGCTCGTACAGCAGCACGCGCCTCCCCGTGATCTCATCCTCCCAGCAACCCAGCAGTGGTAGCACGTTCGGATGGTCGATCTCCGCCAGCGCCCGCATTTCCTGAGGGGAATGGAAGCGCGGGATGGGGTTTTCTGAAATACTTTGTGGGTGGCAGATGCCAGCCAGATGAAGCATGTCTGGTTCGGGTGGTTGACTTCCGCTAGAGCGCGCAATTCCTGGTGGCGTAAGAATCATGGAAGGGGGCAAAGTGGGATGTTTCCGAAACAGTTGAAAAGTGGCGAATATAGAAAAAAACTCATTCGTGGCGCGTGTCCAAGGTGGCTGATTTCTGCCTGTCCCCGCATCACCTGGGGGGAATGGGAACAAGGTTGGGCTTCAAGGGGATGATTGGTGGGCGGCTGACGCCAGATGCAGCCCGTTTGAGGGGCGGATGTCTGCTCGAGCCCGCAAAAGCCTCACCTCCATATTCAAACTCATGGGTACGGGGAAAACTCCTCCCCGTCCTCCCCTTGCTCTGCAACAGTAGGTAACAGCTTCGCCACGAGCATGGGCCCCTCGTCCCCCAGCATGTCCGCCACAAACGCCACCCCACTCACCTCCATATTCAGACTCATAGGAACAGGAAACTCCTCCCCATCCTCCCCTTGCTCTGTCACCGTGGGCAGCAGTTTCGCCACGAGCATGGGTCCTTCGTCCCCCAGCATGTCCGCCACAAACGCCGTCCCCCCGCTGGGCCCCGGGCCCCTCGTGATCATCTTGCTCTGCCCGAACTCGTCCGTGGCTGCTAATAACGCGGATGCACGCACGGCCCTCCCGTCAAACATGGTCACCAGCAACGAGCTGCTCTCCCCTCCTGCTCCTGCCGCCACACCATCTGCATCATCATCATCATCGTCTCCGGCCCCTCCTGGTGATTTTGAGCCGGCTGCTGCTGCAGCACCGGCAGCACCAGCACCTATACCCACTGCAGCTGCAGCAGCAGCTGCTCCTATCAGCGCTGCTCCTCCTGCTGCTCCTGCTCCTCCTCCTCCTCCTGCTGCTGCTGCTGTTGCTGCCCCGCCTGCTGCTGTACCACCAGCAGCACCACCAGCAGGCATCCCTTCCCCTCCCTGCATCCCCATCCCCCCTTCTCCCTCTGCTCCTCCCGTTCCATACTCGTTACTGTACGGCCCGCTATAAGTCCCTGCTCCTGCTCCCCCTGCCACCGCCGCCGTCGCCGCTGCTGCTTCAGCTTCCGCTTTAATAGCAGCATCCTCGTTAGTAGGCACCCCATTATACCTGTGCTTCGCCCGTGCTGCCATGCCGCAGAGATACGGGCATCCAAAGGTGAACAGCGCTGCAAAGAGCAGAGTTGCTAGTAACGAGGCAGCACATAACGCGAGCAGCTGCCACCAGGCCAGGTCGTTACTATAGGGGTTGGTGCTTGTAGAGGGGGGAGGTGGGGTGGGGGAGGAGGATACGTCTAGGTTACTAGACGAATCACCAGGCGGTGGTGCTGGTGGTGGTGGTGGTGGGAGGGAGTTTGAAGGAGGGGTGGCAGGGGGAGTGAGAGGGGGAGTGAGAGGAGGGGTGAGAGGAGAAGGGAGAGGAGGTGTTGCTTGGGAGGGTGGGGGAGTGGAGGAATTAGGAGGGGGAGAAATGGGCGGTTGGGCGAGAGGAGGAGGGAGAAGGGAAGCGGGAGCAGGAGTAGGGGAGGGGGAAGAAGTGGGAGCGGGAGAGGGTGCGGATGAGGGGGAAGGGCTGGGGGAAGGAGAGGGGGCGGGGGAAGGCCCTTCCCCTGGCGGGGGGGCGGTACCAGGGGGAGGCGCAAGTGGGGGAGGGGTCAGAGGCGGACGGGGGGGAGGGCGTGGGGGGGAGGGGGGCTTGCTGGGGGGAAGAGGGTGATGTGTATGGGGGCGAGGAGGAGGGAATGGTTGTGGGGGAGGCCAGGGGGGACGGGGGTGGCGGGATGGGGGTCTTGGGGGATGAGTGCGCTTGGGGGGGGGGACAATGGGGGGACCTGCAGGGGTGATTTCGGGGAAGAAAGGGGAGGTTGGGGGGGAAGGGGGGGGATTGGGAGGGGGAGAGCGGGGGTATGGGGGCGGGCGTTTCCGGGGGGGAGAGGGGGGCTTGGGGGGAGGAAAAGGGGGAGCGGGGAGCAGCAGAGGAGGGGAAGGAAGAGGAGGAGAAGAAAGAGGAGGGGGAAGAAGCCGAGGGGGAGCGTTAGGGGGAGTGGACACAGGTGGAGGGAGAAGAGGAGGAGGAGGCTGAACCGGGGGAGGGGGCTCCTGCGGTGGGGGAGAGGCAGGCGGAGGAGGAAGAGGAGCGGATGGGGAGACGAAGGGGGGCGGGGGGGCACGAGGGGGAGGGGAGGGCGGACTGGGGTCCCACCAGGGGGGGGAGGGCGGGCATTCCCCATAACACAATCCCGGGTTGCCTTCAAACGAGGACGGGGGGAACTTCGCCAGGGGCCCTTCTGCCGGCGTCGACCCGAACAAATCATTATTCGACACGTCAAACCGAACCAGATTCTCCAGCCCATTAAACGGGGGAAGTTCCCCTACTAAATCGTTCCCATTCAGCGTCAGCACCTGCAGCTGCGCCAGCGTGTTCAGCCTCGTCGGAATCAACCCTCCTATCCGGTTCGAGTCCAACCTCAACGAAGTCAGACTCCACATCTGCCCCAGCGTCTCTGGAATGCTCCCATCCAGCCTGTTTCCCCCCAGATCCAACCTTGAAAGCCGCTGCGCGTACCCTAGCTCCTTCGGGACCGAGCCTTCGAATCCGTTCCCTCTTGCTGAGATGGTTTGGATGATGGGGAGAGACGCCAGGAGGCCGGGCGAGAGGGGGCCGGAGAGCTGGTTGTAGTCCAGCAGCATGTCCTGCAGCTGACCTAGGGATTGCATTTCTGCAGGGAGGGAGCCCGAGAGAGCGTTTTCTCTTAGGTCTAGTTTGATTAGTGAGTTGAGAGCCGAGATTTCTGGGGGTATTGACCCCGAGAGCGTGTTCTTGCGCAGGTCTAGAACGGCTAGACGGCGGAGGGCGGAGAGGGTATTCCCGGGGATTTCCCCTGACAGCTCCGTTTCGGATAGCTCCAGGGACTGTAGCGAGGAGAGGAGGGCGAGGGCAGAGGGGAAGGAGCCTGGAAAGGAGTTGCCGGTGAGGGAGAGGTGGAGGAGATCGGTGAGCGAGCCCAGGGAGGGGTCTGGGAGGTCGAGGGAGCCGGAGAGGGAGCGGTAGGGGAGGGAGAGGGAAGTGACCCGGCGGGAGAAGGGGTTGCAGTCGACGCCCGTCCAGGAGCACGGGTCGGGGTCGTCGGGGTTCCAGTTGGACAGCGCGCCTGGGGGGGGAGATCGGGGGGACAGAAAGAAGAGATAAGGAAGGGAGCATGGGTTAGGGAGGGAGAAGAAGGGGTTGCATTCGACGCCGGTCCAGGCAGGAGCATACGTCGGGGGAAAATTCAGGGTTGACAGCGCGCCTGAGAGGGGGTGGTAGGGATAGGGATGGTTGGGGCCCGAGTAGGATAATGCGCCTGAGAGGGATGGTGAGGGCGGGGAAAGACATGTCACTCGAAACTCCATGGAGGGAGATGAAACCAGAAGAAAGCCCGGGGAAAAGAAGGGGGGTAGTGGAAGGGAGAGCAGAGGAGTGAGTGAGGAGAAGGGGAAGGCGGGGGTCGCAAAAGACAGCGTCTTACCTGTAGGATCTTCTGTGACATGGGCTTTAAAGTTCAGCAGAGCCGCCTTATCCACATCGATTGGACTCTGAGCAGCCGTCCGCGTTATTGAGAGCACGTGTATAAAAACTAGAAGAAATGTATGTAGTCGATGTGGTCTATGTAGTTCATGGAGTCTATGTAGTCTCCGGCACCAGCAGTTTATTCTCAGCCCCGAGCTTGCAGGTTCGGCAGCCATGCCTGATGGCCCGCCAGGTTCGGCGGGGACAGGCTCGGAGTGGTCAAGCCCGGCTGAGCCTGGGAGCCAAAGCGGATGTGCTATCTTGGGGCACGTGTTGCTGACGTTCGAAAGTTCTCGTTTGTGGCTGTGACTATATCGGAGCCTCTGCGTTTTGACCTTAAGCTAGCCTTGGTGGTCGTCCTGTCAATGACAACGCCTCCCCCTAATGTGTCTCGTTTATGAGTGTCGCACGTGCTTACGCTTCTAGAACCAAGCTTACTTGTACGACTATTGCTATTGCCGTTACTACTTCTCAGCGACTGACGTCTCCCGTTTCCGTCGCTGCAGCTGCTCCTGTGGCTATTCGCTTTTGGAACAACTAACGACGTCGTCATGATATGTGACTATCAGGAGTGAATACGTAAGGGACGCGAACAGAAGCGTGAGGGTAAGGCGACGGGGTCCGTCAGGCATCGCATAAACTGGAACGAAACCAAAACGCAGCAGCGTAAGCGAAACCAAGGTTTGTTAGTCACTGGTTGACGTGGACGAACGGGTAAAAGAAATGCAGCAAGGGAAAGCAAGTTGATTCCAGCAACCTAGTCCGCCATACTCGTTCTGTTCGGGCATGTCTAGCGCGTACGATTTTTGTCAAAACTTCACCCAACTGTTTTAGATTTGTTCTCGACCCTTCTGATCGGTGAGACACCTCAGGGCGTGTCCGCGCGCACGTTCTAGCTCAATACCCTACCCTACCCAACCGTTTTCGACTGCTATTCGAACTTTCTGACTCGCAGAGCATCTTTCCTAACCGCAATCAAACGTACGCGCGGGGCACTCCCTCACCCTGCCACAATCGCGCTGGACACGCCCTTATGGGTGGGTTGGGTTGGGTGAAGGCCGTTTTGGGCAAAACGCCTGATGCTAGCACAGACGAGGATGTGTTCTTACTTCTCCAGGAAATCGAACTCCTTGTGCCATTACAGGTTCATCCTCGGTCAACAGTGCACGTGGTTTCGGGAATCTAGCCCAAAATTCGGTTATTTTGACGACATTTGCACCAGTTCTTGCCAGCTTCGAGTACGCCTTACAACCCTTGGAGTTGCCAGCACCAGTTCAGCGCCCACTCTGAACCCAAACCAATCTGCAATATCTGCTCGCTTGCGCCAAACACAACCTACTCCAGGCCACAGCGTGTGCTGTGCTCCCTCCTCCTGACCTGAGTCCTGCCCCGAAGCCAACCGTCAAGTCCGCGTCATTTCTGAATGGCCGTGTGCGCACTGATCACTGGACGACCACCAGATTTGGCGGGAAACGCATCGCTTGGCCCCTTTACAATGTGACGTCTTGGTACTTTCTAAGTGTACCGTAGTACAAATCAATAGATAGGGAAGCGTTCTACAATGCAAGCTACATATGTAATCTAAGCGAAAGTGGTAGTGCAAAACTGCAAAACATTTGAAGGACGTGCCCTCTGATTTGTGGAGATTCACTTTGTAACGAAGCCCTAAAAGATCTGCACTGCAGTGCACCAAGACAATGTGATGGGAACATGACGGACCTTGTAATAGTGCTGCTATGCGGGAATCCGGATGGGAGGGCGCAGCAGCATGTTGCCCTAGCGAGGAACTCTGCAGGAAGGAAGGAGCTGGTCATAGCTGATTGCTGTAGAAGGCTCACAGCACAGTAGATATCTGCATACAGGAAAGATGGAAGCTCCGTGTGGAAGGATGGGGCTTAGATGGACCCAAATTTCCTGCGTTAACGCCTTTTAAATTAGTGCTACTGAGTGGTCCATCCGTGGCCGTCTCACAGTAGGGAACATGGCTGCATGGCGGAAGGATGGGAGCTGGTGCATGGCAGGATGGGGGTGAAACGAATCCAATTTCTGCGGTGACAAACTCAGGCGGCTGCGTCAACAGAAGCGGGTGACTATGGCGGGCGCACAGCAGGGCACATGGCTGGATGAAGGAGGGATGGGAGCCGGTGCATGGCTGTATGGCGGATGAAAAGAGACAAGTATCTCTCTCTCTCTGTTGGCAAACTCTGTAGTGCTACAACAGGGATGGATGTGCATGGTCCATGGTACTGTTGCTGTCTGTTGCTGCTGTTTGTTGCTGCTGCAGGTAGCTGCTGCTCCTAGTGGCGTTGGTGGTGGTGGTGCTTGTCAATGGCGATAGTGATGGTGCTGATGGTGGTGGTGCTGATGGTGCTGATGGCGGTGGTGCTGTTGTTGGCAGGTGTTGATTTGCAGCTGGTGTTGCTACCAAAGAATAAGTTATATGAGTGACATTCAGCCTTGTGACCGATTGTGAAGAGAGAGCTCGTGAGCTGGTTGTTGGACGAGTTGGCAGTTGAGTTGTGATTCTTAAAGAAAGATGAAAGGCGCCGCTGCGGCTGCAGTCAACCTCCTTGACGGATGTGGTGGCAATGATATTGGTTTTGAGACGTCTCAAAACCAAATTTCATTTCACGGCTGCGATCAAACTCGTTGGCTGGCAGGAGGAACCAAGAGTGGGGCTCGAGGGTGGTGAATGGCGGAGGCAGTGGTGGTGATGGTGCATGGTGGCAGTAGCAGTGGTGTGTGACATTGTAACGAGCGACTTTTAAGTTGATTCAGAAGTCACCTCAGAACCAAGTGGGGCTCAAGGGTGTTGAATGGCTGAGGCGGTGATGGTGCATGGTGGCAGTAGCAGTGGGTGGTTGTGGATGGTCGTACTAAGGATGATACAGCTACTTGTCACGTGTGACTCACTCATAGGAATGTGCCCTGTTACGCTGCCTCTGTTCCTGCTGGCTGGTGCTGCTGGTGCTGCTGCTGGTGCTTCTGGTGCTTCTGGTGCTGCTTCTGGTGCTGCTGTTGCTGTTGCTGCTAATGCTGCCACTAATGCCCCTGCTGCCACTACAGCTGCCTGACCAGCTACTAGCTCCTGATGGAAACCCGTGTCACCTGCGGCGGTTGGCCCGACCTCTTAGGCTGGTACGGTCGCCCCCCGTCAAAGAGCCCGCGAATCATGCCTAGAAGAGGGGGGATGGAGGCAGCAAACACCACGGACAGCAGCACGTGGGTGAGTCGGTTCTGCCTCCGCACGCTCTGCACCATCTGCCTCAACTCCTCCACCTCATTCTCCTCCACTTCTTCCATCTCTTCTTCCTTCTCTCCTGCTTCTGTCCCTCCCCGTTGCTCCACAACCGCACCTAGAGTGCTTCTTTCGAATGCTGCGTGATGTTTCCCGTCAATTCCAGCACCCACCCATTCATGCCCCTCCGCCACCACCACATTGCCCCCTCTGCTGCTCACACCATTGACCCTTGGTGCTGGTCCTGCCAATTCTGCTCCCGAGTTCTCTCTTTTCTCGCCGCCTCCTATACCAGGCTGTGCTCCTGTGCCCTGGCTTTGACCCCCTGGTTGTTGTTGGTTCTGCCGGAATGTCCGTTGCTGCTGGCTGCACTGTACAGTTTCCTCCTGGCCGTGCTGTTGGCTGTGTTGCTGGTCGTGCTGGGAGGCGTTGCTGCTGCTGGAGCGGGTGATGGAGGCGGGGTCGGGCGAGGAGGAGGAGGCAATGGGGGAGAGGCCAAAGGAGATGGGGGAGGAGGAGATGAGAGAAGGGGATCGCTTGTGCTCGTCTATGGGACTGTCGCTCTGGAGGAGGTTGGGGGGGAGAGATAGGAAGGGTGAGGATGGGTGAGTGAGTAGGGGCGAGTGAGAGAGGGAAGGGAGGAGTCAACAGACAAGGGGGGTGGTGAGAGGCCTGAGGCACAACTGACGAATGGCAGGCAAGAGGGAGTAAAGGCGAGAGCCGAAAACAGGAGGAAGCTCTTGGGTGGCAGAGTGTCACATAGAACATTGTGAGACATCACAGGAACACACCACTGCAGCGCAATCAATCCATCATGACACGTCATTCTGACCATGATCATGACATGACTTGCTGTCATCATAGCCCCATGGGCCATGTCATGCCACCATCATCGGAGAGCCATCTTCGCTTCCAGCAGCTGCACCTGCTCTGCTTGGCATAAGCATAAGGCGCACACATTCAGCATGCATTCCAGTGCCACACATGCAAGCGTGCACACATGTATAACTCAGCACCATCTTGCCATCATTGCGGCCGTCGTCGCCCACAGGAGAGCAGCAGTACCTGCATTGTAACATGAGCATGCACGTGCATGCCTGCCTACCCTCTACCACTGCATATCGTAGCCTTCAGCATCATGGCGGCCGTTTTGGCTTCAAGCAGCTGCACCTGCTCTGCTTGGTTGGCAGAAGGTGCAAGCAGGCATGCAAGGTTGCACGTATGCAAGCACAGATACATCAGAGCCCCGTCTCACTCACCAACATTGCAGCCATCTTCGCTTCCAGCAGCTGCACCTGCACCGCCCGTTGCTCTGCTTCCCTCTCTGCCTTCTCTGCCCGCCTTTCTGCCGCCTGGAGAGAGGGGGAAGGGGGAACCGGAAGGGGGGGGGGGGGGGGGGGGAGGGACGAGGGGAAGTAATGACAACAGCACCAGCAGGCCGGCGTTCTAGTGTGAACCAGGTGATGCTATCTCCCACCCAGTCTAAACCCACATCCTGCTGATGCTCTCTATTGTTTAGGCGCCTCAATGATAGACTCGACACGGTGTGCTGATGTGATGTGAACCAGGTGATGCCATCCCCCAACCAGTCTACACCCACATCCTGCGGATGATCTCTCTCTGCACGTCCACACTTCCTCACTCCCCACAACCCTCACCCACCCGCCTCTCAACCGTCAAATTTCATACCTCGACTGCCACTGACAGCCGTGCCACATCCTCCTGAGTGAGGGACGCCTGCCCCAGCTCCAGCAGCTCGTGACAGCCTCAACCCCGTAACAGTCCCCCCCCCCCTCCCCTCCCAAACCCCCCATCCCCCAATCCCCCAGACACGCACAGCCCCCTCACAGCACACCTCGACTGCCTCTGACAGCCGCGTGACATCCTCTTGCGTCAGCGACGCCTGTCCCAGCTCCAGCAGCTCCTGCACCACCGACTCGTCACACTCCATCTGACACGGATGGTGGGGGATGGGAGGCAACAACAGATGAGAAGAGAGAGGGAGGGGAGGGAAGGGTGGGGGGGTGGTATTGAGTCAACTCGTCACACTCCAAAGCAGCGCACACACACAAGGAGTCATGAGTCGTGACAGAGAGAGGAGGACGAGCAGGGGCATGAGGGACAGCAAGGAAGCGAAAGAATCAACCCTGAGTCGATTGTCGCTTCGAAAGGTTATACGACATCACACGCATGCAGCATGAGTCAAGATGGCATGACTTGATTGACATTACATGAATTATCTACATGATAACATGGCTTGGCATGAGGGGACACGAGATAACACGACCACCATCGTATGACTGAACTGAACAAGACCCACCGTTACAGGGGTTGTTCGTCGCTCTGATGCATCCTCAGCATCACCATCATTACTATGCCTGTGCACACAGACACAGACACAGACACAGAGACACACACACGCACGCACGCACGCACGCACGCACGCACGCACGCACGCACGCACGCACGCACGCACGCACGCACGCACGCACGCACGCACACACACACACACACACACACACACACACACACACACACACACACACACACACACACACACACACAGAGCATGGCCACCCACAGACATCAGCATAGCCATCCGCATCAGAAAGAGCACCAACAAATCACTGTTAAGTTATAATAACCAGCAGACGCAAAGAGACGTGACAAAGAGGATCCAAAACAGGCACTGCGCCCTGAAGACAACACACTCATTCGTCCTCTCCCCCCATGCACCCCTGTCCCTCCCACCTTCGCACCTCTCCCTGTCTGACTCTGACCCCGAAACTGCTTTCTCCTTTGAGGCGCCTCCCGCCTTCTCACCTCTCCCCTGTTTCTGATCCCCAAGCTGCTCTCTCTCCGCAGTGACTTGCCCGACGCCTATGACTCGCACCACTTGCCCACCATGATTCCCCATTACCTCCATCCCAACCCTCTTGCGCCTCCCGTCTCCTCACCTCTCCTCATCCCTACGGCCCAAGCTGCTTTCCCTCCGCGGTGACATGCCCGACGCCTCTGACTCCCACCTGCTCTCCACTTCGACTGGGAGACCATGCCCGGGGGAGGAGGGTTAAGAGAGGGGGGGGAGGGGTGGGGGGAGGAACGAGGGGGCTTTAGAGTCATCTCTCTCGGGTTTATGACTCAAAAGACATCTCTCTCGGGTTTAGACTCAAACGATATCTCCCTCGGGTTTAGACTCAAAAGACATCTCTCTCACGATGGTGACAAGCCTGTGGCCTCTGAGTCCCACCTGCTCTGCACTTCCACTGGATTACCATACCCGGGGAAGGGACATTAAGGGGGTGGGGGAGTGGGGGGGTGGGGGGGGGCATGAGGCAAACAGGGTAGAGATTGGGGTGAGGGGGTTTTGCGTCTAGCACTTGCTGAGCCATGCCCGGGAAAGGAGGGGTGTCCACGAGCGACGCACCAGGAGTGGAAGGGGTACGGAACGGAGGGGATTATATCAATAAAACTAGGAGGAACACGGGGCGACGCTGTGTAGCACTCAAACCTCAGCACCTACACCACGTGCAATGCCAAGCCAACACGATGTTACATCGTGTTGGCAAGCATGCGCCCTGTGCAGAGACCAGCCTAACCTGCAATTTGCCTGGCCTAGATCCCATGCAATGTGCTCACCTGCGCTGCACCCTCTGCAAGAGAGGCTCCAGTAGAGCTAGAACCGCGGATGTGCACCCTGTGCGCGGCTATGCTTACCTTGACTCCATGCAACGCGTACCTGCGCCCTGAGCAAACCCCTCACCTGCGCCCTGCGCCAGGCTGCAGTAGAGCTCGAACCGCAGCGCCTCGGATTTGGCCAGCCAATGCTACCCACCCACCCACCCACCCACCCACCCCTGTTCCGCACCTTCCCCGGCACCCATGCCAGGCTCATCTGCGCCCAGCGCCCTGCGGCAGGCTGAGGAAGAGATCAAACGCAGCAACTACACCCTGTGGAAGAGCTCAACCGCAGCAAAGCAACTACACCCTGTGGTGCACGGCCATGCTTGCTTACCTGCACGCTGTGTAGGACCATGCTCAGAGAACGCTCACACCAGGCTCACTCACCTGCGCCCTGTGCCAGGCTGCGGTAGAGCTCGAACCGCAGCACCTACACCCTGCGCACCCCACCAGCCTCACCTGGAATGCTCACCCCACCAGCCTCACCTGCGCCCTGCGCCAGGCTGCGGTAGAGCTCGAACCGCAGCACCTCGGACTTGGCCAGCTCGTCGCGCAGACGAGCGCACTCCACCTGGCGGGCAGGGACGCGGAGGAGAGGAGACACGCGTGCAGGAACAGAAGGAAAAATAAGTGGGAGGGGGCGAAGGCTTTTGAGTCGACTAAAAAAACGAGCGCACTCCACCTGGCGGGCAGGGGCATGCCATGGAGGAGAGGAGACACGCGTGCAGGAACGCGGAGGAGAGGAGCCACGCCACGCGTGCAGCAAAATCGCGTGCAGCACAGCTTTCTTAGAACCATCGAGCTCATCATGACTGAATAGACTTCCGGCCCCAGCCTCCAGCTTCCAGATGACCTTTGAGCAATCTAGCCCCCTCAGCCTGGCCCTACCTGCATGCAGCCCGATAACTTGAAAAACATCGAGCGTACTCACTCCAGGGATCAGTAAGCCTACCGTTCTATATACTCACCACCAGCACTCTGGCTTACTCAACTGAACCCTACCTGCAAGGCCAGCACTCCCGACTCGTCGAGCTCCTCCAGGCGCTCCTCCAGCAGCGCCTGCACCATGGCTGGGTGCATCTCCGCCGCCCTCTCCCCCGCCCTCCGCTTCCACTCCTCTGCAGGTACAGGCGGGAGAAAGGGGAGGGATGAGCGGAGATACATACAGTAGGGAGAAAACGGGGTCGAGTTTGACTGACAGGCAGGCATGATTCCCACTCACGGCAGCGAGAGGCCATGGATTGTGGTTCCATCTCTAACGCTGCTAGCTAGGTGACTTGTTAGTCAACTCAAAAGTAGCCTGCGGACAACCATGTGCGTGCGTTGTCCATGGGGGCCCAGCGGCCAGCCCCGCTCACTCACTCACCGCAGCGCAGCAGGAGGCCATGGATTGTAGCGCCAGCTCCAACGCTGCTGCATGACTCCTGAGACGACTCAAAAATCACCTCGGGACTAAGCCTGTAAGTACAAAATTCGGTATTCGCACACTATTCGATATTCGGCAAATACCCAAATACAAAACGAATTCGAATTGGCTGTTTATTCGGAGGTATTCGCGGGGTCAAATATTCGTCTCGGACAAATATTCGTGCCCCCAATATTTGGGTTATTCGCAAAGTATTCGCATTCAAAACGGCATCATATCTCGCCCTGTTGTTTAGAGGGGGGCAAGGGGAAACGTCCGATACTGAAGAAATATGTCGTCAGAAATCAATCAGGGTGGTGCTAAAGTAGCATAGTTTAACGACGTCCAAAGACCTGAATTAGCACAACTAGAGGAGGATAGCCGGTAGTGCGTGGGTAGTGAGGTGGAGGGTTTAGGGCAATCAAAGGGCGTGGGTAGTGAGGTGGAGCAGCAACCTCCAGTACTGTGAGGGATCTAGGTTGTCCAGGGTGAAGAAGGTGAGCATTGAGTGTTAAGCTCGATTTTGTAATCCTTACCACCGATCTGGGCTGGGCCTCGGCGAGCAGCAGACATTTCGTAGACCATAATTCCTAAAATGCACTAAGCAGAATGGGTTCGTGACAAAAAAAGGTGTATAGCCCGAGTATTCGAGACACATTCGTATTCGTCTCGTCTTCGCCAGTATTCGACTCGAATTCGTATTCGACGGGGAAGAAACTATTCGGGCAAATACAAATTCAGTTCCTATTTGCAATTATTCGGACAAAAACATTCGTTTTACATGCTTACTCGGGACAAGCATGTGTGCACGGGCTCTCAGCCACACTCACCGCAGCGGGAGGCCATGGATTGTAGCTCCATCTCCAATGCTGCTGCATGTGCCCTCGCCTCCTCTAGCTGCTTGTCCTGCCAATCACATCAGACAGAACAAGCCCACAAAAGATGTATATTTTTAGGCGCCTCAAAAGTAGAGTCAAAAATATTTTTGAGACGCCTAAAAAATAGAGCCCTCTCCTCCTCTAGCTGCTTGTCCTGTCAATCACATCAGACAGAACAACCCCACAAAAAAACCCCACCGTTTGTCAAAACAAGGCCGAGAGCATTACGCCCATCACACAAACCAGAAACCTCATGCCACGTCGTTTAAAAACGTTGAGCCTTACAGCGTCACCAGAAAAAGGCGAAATTGCTACAACGTGGAAGGAAAGCGAAAGAGCTGTTTGTCTTGTCGGGGGGCAGAAAGGGCTCACAGCAGGCGCGCCGTTCTTCAGCTGCTCTTGCAATAGAAGGTCCTCTAAGGCGTCCCGCTCCTCGCACACCTGAACGCACGGCAACGGGTTTCAGGGAGAACCGAAGCATTTGAGGGGGGTTTGAGATCAGATCGGCAGAATCTGGAAGGAGAAGGCGCGCCGATCTTGAGCTGCTCCTCCAACAGAAGGTCCTCTAGGGCGTCCCTCTAGGGCGGCGTCCCTCTAGAGCTGCTCCTCCGACAGAAGGTCCTCGCTTTCGTTCCTAGGGCGTCACAACTGAGCGCATGGTAACGGGTTTTAGGGAGAACCGGAGTATGTGAGGGGAACAGAAGTGGGGTGAAGGGGATTCGAAGGTGGCAGATGAAAGGCTCGGAACAAGCCAAGCAGTGCCATGTCCCGCACGGGCACGGGCACGTGGACGTGCGGACATGCGGACATGCGGACATGCGAACATGCGAACATGCGGAAATGCGGACATTGGAACGTGCAGCAAGGCCCACACCGATCGCGTTACGGAAAGATTGCAAGGGACATTCAATTGGGCGGGCGTTGCTGTGATGCGAACGCATGACGGGAATGAGGACGCACAGACGATTGAGCCTGACGAGCCACGAGACGACATGCGAGCACATAGAAATGCCAATGAGCGGGCATTCGATCGTGCGAAACGGACACATGAACGGACGGTTACGATAACGCGCAGATATACGGCGACGCGGATGCTAGCGTGTGTTGATGCAGACACGGATGGACGGACAGCAACGGTCACAGAAATCCACGCAATGGCAGCACGATGCTACACGTGGTTACAAACATCAACTCAGGAAGACATGGAGCTGAACTCGTGGGGAACAGCAACAGAAACGCGGAGCGACAGAAACGCAGAGCGATAGAAACGCGGAGCGACAGAAACGCGGAGCGACAGAAACGCGGAGCGACAGAAACGCGGAGCGACAGAAACGCGGAGCGACAGAAACGCGGACATTAACATGGGGTACCACCCAGAGAGACGAACCCTCAGAACCCAACGCGGAGAGACCGGCGCAGAGTGACCAACTCGGAGGCACACCTGTCGGTAGCTGTCTCGAAGCTCCTCGAGCTCCCTCTCAATGTCCGATATGCCGTTGGCCGTCGGACCCTGGTGGCAGCGAGGAGGTACGTGGGAGTGAGCGACGACATGGTTACCCGATTTCTATCGCATGGCTGTGCGAGACGGACGATCGGAAAAAGTAGGACGAAGGAAAAGGAAGAGCGGTTCGAAATGGCAAGATACATGAAGCAGGCCTTCTGGAATCCTAGAGCAGAAAGGAAAGGACTGCTAAGACCTCCCCGCGTAGTGTAGCTTAGACCTTCCGAACGAGACCGATCACGGCTCAAGGACAGAATAGAAGCTGGAGAAGGATGTCTACGGACACGTCACAGGTCTAGAGACACGGACTGTAAGAGGGAAGGAACTAGCCTGCGGGACATAGTACGAAGCCATGGTTGCCGCCATCACGTGAGTGTTTGGTGAAGAAAAGAAAGGACGGTATATTCTATGCCATGAACAAGGGGAAGGAAATGTGGATGAGCCACAACAATAACAACCAGCACGAAGGGTCCGTGAGTGTATGTATGTGGTGTGCTGCTCTGCTGCTCTGCTCTTCCCAACCCACATACTGTGGAGATTACTTGCTGTTTTGTGATGTGTGATGCAGATGGACCACAGGTTCGCTGGCCTGGTAAGGTAAGGCAGGCGACTAGTCAGCTGGACGCATGCGACCAGCCACCCCCGAGGCATGCGACGAGCCATACCATTGTACTATGCGACAAGCTATCCCAACCCATTGCATGCGACGAGCCATCTCATTGCACGCAACGAGCCATTGCATGCGACGAGCCATCTCATTGCACGCGACGAGCCATTCCATTGCATGCGACGAGCCATTCCATTGCATGCGACGAGCCATTCCATTGCATCCGACGAGCCACACAAGAGCATGGGTGGGACGAGCCAGCCACGGGCATACGAGCAGCCAGCCGCGCCATGCAAAAGAATTTGTCGCAGCGAAACACAACGCTGGTAACCTGAACTGCTGGCGACGATGCCGACATGAAACGGACCTCCTCGGCATCCTGATTCCAGTGGTTGACCCGCGGCGTTGCGGCGGGATTCCCGTGGTCTGATCAGTCCAGTCCATCCCTTCTCGCTTTACTGCGGCGGACCCGCCCGTTACACTCACGCGCCGAATCATGGGTTGGACATTTTGGGTGCCACAAGGGCCTGAATGATTCCCCATTCGTCAGTGTTATGAATGAACAAGCAGAGTAGCGCGGAAATGAATAACGAAGTGTCTGAATGACGATACAAGGAATGGCAAGCCAAGATATAGGAACACCAGAGCTAGTCTAACCATGAGATGTGAAGGTTCGGGAAAGAGATCGAAGGGTCTCGAAGTGACGAAGCGAGGTCCGGATAACTCCCGAAGTTCTAACTAGAAGGTCTGGAGAAGCCTAGGCGTTTCTGTCAGAAAGGTCCGGAACCGTCCCGAGGCTTCGGGCGTGTTCGAGCGTACGCGATAGCAGTACCGCTCGGTAAGGAATGGAAAATTCCTTACACCACCCCCCCCCCCCCCCCCCCCCCCCCTTAGCGAAGGTGATCTATATCAGCCACGTGCTTGTGGGTCAAATAATTCGCAAGTATCGAAGGTGACTGTATCTGGTCCAAGGGCACCCACGTGTCATCCTCACTGGTACGATTGGTCCATCGTATCATGACGTCAACATGTCGTCCTTGGCCGTCGATACGAATCCTATGACTCAAAATCTTCGAAGGCTCGATGGTCGTCATTGCTGGTGGCCGTACATCCGGGACCAATCACTGTCGAGCGATGTCCGATGTGTCAGGTACGAAGGGTCGCAACATGCTCATGTGGAACTTGTTGTGAATACGCCAATCATCAGGTAGGCGCAACTGGGCGGTTACCGGCGTCGCCATCTTCATGATCTTGAATGGGCCACAGAAACGTGGTCCTAATTTCGTCGGTAGTGGTAGCCGTAAGTTCTTGGTGTCCAAAATGATTAGTTGCCCTGCTGCCATTGTAATATCCCGTCGATGTAAATCCATATATCGTCGAGCAGTAGCATTCGCCTTGCGAATAAGTTCTCAGGCAGTCTGTAATTCTTCGAATAACTGCCGCGACCGTGGTACTTGACTCACGACGTTGGTGGAGATAGGTACTATGGGATCCATCCCGTAATTGAGGTAAAACGAGGAGTGATTAGTCGTGACTGAGGGCGCGTTGTTGTATGAGAATTCCAACATGGGAAGCGCGTCCTCCCATTTGTTTCGGTCGAGACAGTTTGCCCGAATCAGCTGTTCCATCGTTTGGTTCGTCCTCTCTGTCTGACCGTCCGGTAAACCTGTGACGAAATCCATCGTCACGTGTTGCCATGGGCGTTGAGGTGGCTCGATGGGCTGCAACAGTCTTGTCGGTCGCTGGTGTGATGATTTCATTCGCTGGCAGATCGGACACGCGGCCACGTAACGCTGCACGTCCGTCACCATATCTGGCCAGTAATAAAACTGCTGCAACGCCTTCAGAGTTTTATCAACCCTGAAATGTCCCGATAAATTCGAATTGTGGACTTCTTGAATTAGTAATTCGCGAAGTAGACGATAACTTGGGACCCAAATTCGATCCGTCCCGCTTCGTAAGTAATAGACGCCTTTCTGTGTAGTGATTTGGAGATGGCATTCATTTACGAAGAAGGGGTCAGTCGAATACCCGGGGGTAAATAGTCCACTCAGTAGCGGGTTGCTCTGGGCGACTAGCAATATTGTTGGCGCCCTTTTTGTACGTGATCTTGTACGTGAAGTTGGACCCCAGATAGTCCAGCCAGCGTATCTGTCGCGGGTTGAGATTCGGCTGCGCCCTCAGGTACTGTAGAGATTTATGGTCGGTTCGCAGCGTCACGTCTGCGCCAGTCAGGTAGCACCTCTAGATTTTGAACGCGTGGACAATCGTCAGGATCTCCTTGTCGTGTACCAGGTAGTTGCGCTCAGCAGATTGCATTTTTTCAAGACTTGTACGTGATTGGTTGAAGACCATTGCCGAAATCTTGCATGAGCACTGCTCCGAAAGCGATGTCACTTAAGTCGGTAATAACTTCGAAGGGCCGTTCCGGGTCAGCGATGCGAAGTACTGGTGGTGACTTTAAAAGAGTTTTGAATGCCTCGAACGCAGCTTGTTGCTTCTCTCCCCTTTCGTTAGAAGTTCCCTTCCGCAGTAGGTCAGTTAGAGGTCTAGTTAACCCCGCCATGTTGGGTATAAACCGCCTCACGTAATTCACAAAACCCAGAAATGATTGCAGCTGCTGCAGATTTGTTGGCGGTTTCCACTCCTGAATAGCCCAAAGTTTTTTTAGGTCTATTTGAATTCCCTCCGTGGATATCACGTGCCCCAGGAACTCCGGGAACTCGCACTTGGAGCCCTTGGTGATGAGACAATGCTGCTGCAGCCGCTGAAAAACCGCTTCCAAGTCCTTTAAATGTTGTTCCCGGGTCTTGTTGTAAATCAAGATGTCATCCAAGTAAATTGTCACACATTTTTCGACTAGATTGCGGAACACCCCGTTCATGGTGAGCTGGAATGTTGAGGGGGTGTTCGTTAACCCAAACGGCATCACCGTGTATTCGTAACTCCAGTAGCGAGTACGAAACACGGTCTTGTGGCAGTCGTCAGCGAACACCTGAATTTGATGGTAACCGCCAGGAAGGTCGATCTTCGAAAAGTAGCGAGCTCCGCGAAGGTTGTCAATCAGCTCGTCTGTGCGTGGGATTGGGTAGCGCGATTTTATCGTTACCCGATTAAGGGCACGATAGTCCGTACACATGCGAAGTCCGCCGTCCTTCTTTGAGGTGAACAGGATCGGCGCTGCGAACGGGGACGTGCTTGGCCGAATAAACACTTTTGCCAGTAGGTTGTCAAGCTGGTTCCGTAATTCGTGTAGCTCAGGCTGAGTCAGGCACCATTGAGTTCGTACAGTAGGCTACTCGCTGGTCTCCAGCTCAATTTTGTGGTCTTGGGGTCGTTCGTGTGGCAGTCCACTTGGCAAGTCGTCCGGGAAAATCTCGGGATATTCCCGAATGATTTTTGCCAAGTCATCCGGGATCGAAGCGCATAGTTTGTTGATGTCGGTCGCCTTGTTTTGCTCCCGTTGATTCGGTTAGATGGACGGCGTATAAACCCACTCGCTTGAGGCACACAGCGTTGACTCGTGTCGAGGCTGTCTCTGCTTCCGGCCACGTGGGTAATGTTTGCCAGCCTTTCTCGCACTTCACTGTGCACTCGCCTATCGTCCAATCGATCTGCGGATTGAATCTTCGCAGCCAATCGCGTCCCAACAGCACATCGTAGCCATTGAGTGTTGTTGCCATCATCGGCGCGCTGAAGCCGATATCTTCGCCACACTTCATCCGAACAACGGATAGTTTGTCGCGTATCGCCAGCGGGGTGCCATCCACCAGTCGTGCGTCTGTTTCGAGCAGACACCATTCCAACGATAAATGTAGTCGTCGTGCTGTCTCCCGATTTATCAGGCTATGACTCGCACCTCCGTCGATGAATATTTTATTTTTTCTTCTATTGAGTCGTCCTTCCGCCAGCACAGGGTGATCCACTGGGTCATCCCCCTTATTCAGTCGGGAGCGGTTGATAGCGTGTATCGGAACTACTACTCGGTGGGGATGGTGTTTTTCGGGCAATGAGGCAGGGTCAGTAGGGGGCCTGACCGCTACTGACGCTTGGCGTTTCCTGACCTACCTTCGTCGTTCTTCTTTATCTGCTTCTTTCGGGGGCAATCGTGAGATTTGTGACCCGGCTGGTGGCAATTGAAACATTGTCCCTTGCGAAAATCTTCCATGTGCTCCTTCGCCACTACGCCGTGAATCGTGGGCCGTGGATCCTGGCCGCGAAAATGATTTCCCTCCCGGGAACCCGCTCTCACATACGTCCGATGCGCGTCGAAATTGTCTGCGATTCGGACTGCTTCGTGAAATATCGCTGGTAGTCGTAAGCGAACCTCGCATTTTATGTCATGCTTAAGGCCCGAAATGAATCAAGTCTTCTTCTCGGAGTCATGCATGTCGGTGATTTGATCGCATAATGCCATGAAGACCGACGCATAATCTTGGACAGAACTCCACTAGCGTCAGTTGTCCAGCTTTATGCGTGCGTTGTCCGAGGCAGATATTGGCTCGAATCGTTCACGCAGAGCTGTACCCCACGCCTTCTATGTGCGAATCTTGGTCGATCCGAAAATCGCGGTTGACCCTTGGGCAGCAGACCCAAAGTTTCCGAAGTAAACCCCTGTGTGTCGCCTGCCGAAAACTCACCCTCCTGTAGTGTATATCGCCACCAATCTAGCGCAGGTCCGTGCAGTAGTGATACACGCAGCCAAATTTTTAAATCGTTAGCAATGATCCCAGCGGCATTAAAATAAAGTTCCGTAAAAAATAACCAGCCCGTAACCATAGTATTCCTATATGTGGGGTTGAACGGGGGCGGCATTATCGGTTTGATTGTCGATGTCGT